AGGAGCCCTGTTCCAGATTGTGATTACCATTGTGATGCTCAATATCTACTTCCATATGCTTCGTTTGTCAAGTTTCCATCAGGTTCGTTCTTTTCCTGTTCTATCTGTGATAATGGGCATTATTTAATGTTTAATTGAGATTTAATCTCAAGTTATATCTAAATCATTGTGTGCTGGTCTTTAAAAGAATGTGAAGTTGTTGTACTTATAGGCAGGGTTCAAGAAGGTGCTAGGTATAAGGTGGGTGTTGGAGCCTTGTCTAGCTTCTAGCTTTCCTAGATGTCGGTTAAGCGTGCATAGGTGTTAGAAAGAAAAATAACAATTTGGACTATATAATGAGCGAAATAAAAATTTACAACATTTCTCCGCTTTAGTTCAAATTATTAATAACCTAGCATCAACAACAAGAAAATTAGCTCATAAGTTCCTATAATCATAGATGAATAACTCAATGTTCTTTAGCTTAGTCTGAAAGGCTTTGGAACTTGCTTGTTCCGTTGCTTGTTGGTTGGTGCTAATCTGTTTAAAATATTGATATAGAACATTGAGTTTGTAGATGTTAATTTCCCCATCTGATATTGACTGCCTGGCTTCATCTCGTTGGCATATAGATGTCATCCTACTTCAATGACTTGTTCTTCATAGTTATAAGAAATGGGTTGTATGTTATAAGAAATGTTTGAAAGCTGCAATCCGATTTTTAATAGTTCATAATACCTCATTCATAGAATCAACGGAAGCAAGTGAAAGCTCATCGACTATATCTCAGTCATGCGAAGTTTCCCAGCCAAATGAAAAGTCAGAGCCGTTTACTCTCCTCGACTTGTATTCTGGCTGTGGTGGCATGTCAACTGGCCTTTGTCTTGGTTCTAAATTGTCTGGTCAACAGCTCGTCACTGTAAGTGTTTTTCTCGTGCTTTGTCTCATAGGATAGACATGACCGTTTCCAATGTTGTTTCAGGCATTGTTATGCTTTTTCCCTTCTAATTTATTTCCATCGTTTGTTTTCTATCTAAATACAGAAATGGGCTGTTGACCTGAACAAATATGCTTGCGAAAGTCTCAAACTGAATCATCCTGGAACAGAGGTAGTGTTTCTCTTTTCAGTCTCAGTTCTTTGTTTTTACTCTATTGGTCACAGTACCCTTTATATTCTTTTTATGGATTTTTTATTTTGATGTATTAGGTGAGGAATGAGTCAGTTGAAGACTTCTTAGCGCTGCTTCTTGAATGGGAAAAACTGTGCATAAGGTTTTCCCTAATTAGCAGTGATGATCCTGAGAAGAAACAAGCTTACCCCTTTGATGCCGAAGAAGATGAGGGTGAGGATTCAGAGGGCGATGATGGTGATGATGAAACTCCTGATGATTCCGAATCTTTTGAAGTCGAGAACATCCTTAATATTTGCTATGGCAAACCTGATGATAAGGACCGTGGATTATATTTTAAGGTATTGAACTACACAGCGGAAATACTATAATCAAAGTTGCATTGCTATTATATTTGATTCAGTTTTCAATTCTTTGTCTTGATGCTTTTAGGTTCAATGGAAGGGTTATGGCCCTGAATATGATACGTGGGAGCCACTTGACGGTTTGGGGTAAGAGACAACTCGACAGCTTGAACTAATATATCAGTTATCATTTTATTTACCTGTGTATTCCGTCTTGGTACTTGTTAATTAAAGTTTTTTTTTTTTTTTTTTTTTTTTTTTTTTTTTTTTTTTTTTGTAAAACAGTAACTGCTTGAAGGCTATAAGGGACTTCGTCACCAATGGGTTCAATAGAAAGATGCTACCTTTGCCTGTAAGTGCACTTAAAACTTTGACTAACGTGTTGGTCGAAATTTTCTAATAGCATTGCCGTTAAGGGTTATTCTAATTTCACCATTGTTTGAGCATTTAGGGTAGTATCGACGTGATTTGTGGGGGCCCTCCTTGTCAAGGCATCAGTGGTTTCAACCGATTCAGAAACAAAGACAATCCGTTGGATGACGAGAAAAACAAACAGCTTATAGTATACATGGACGTTGTCAAATATCTGAGGCCCAAGTATGTGCTGATGGAAAATGTGGTGGACATCCTAAAGTTTGCAGATGGGTTTCTTGGGCGGTATGCTATAGGCCGCCTGATTGAGATGAACTATCAAACTAGAGTTGGGATGCTAGCTGCTGGTGCATATGGCCTTCCTCAGTTCCGTAATCGTGTTTTCTTATGGGGTGCCCTTCCCACTCTGGTAGGTGGTTCTATATCTTTGGCTTTTTATGAGTTCGAAAATGTGTAATTGTTTTTATGCCCCAAATGATTGATTGTCCTATATCTCTTTTTAGGACTTGCCACCATACCCTTTGCCAACCCATGATGTTCTCGTCAGAGGTGTTTTCCCCAACAAGTTTGAGGTATAGTAAGAGTGTTACTGGATCAAACACTACCTGTTTTTTTGCTACGAATAAGTCCTTTTGATCATGATGTTTCCTCAATTTTTGCAGAGATGTGTTGTTGCTTTTGATGAGGGTTGTAATTTTAACGTGAAAAAGAAACTTCTGTTAGCAGATGCATTGTCAGATCTTCCTCCGGTATAGCTTCTGGCCTGGTGGTGTGCTCTTGAGCGTGTGTACCTTTTTATATAGGTTATAGCAGTTTTTAAACCTTTTTTTTTGTTTTGTTTTTGATGTTATGCCTAGGTGGAAAATGGTGAGACGCGTGATGAAATGCCATACACTAAAGAACCTGAAACAGAATTTCAGCGTCTTATTAGACTGAGGACTCCTGGTAAGTGTTAGCCGACTTCTCCGAGTTGCAAAAGGTTGTTGATGGAATTAACTAATAACTGTTATCGCTTTGCAATTATGGTTGGTTCATTAGTTCATACATGAAACCATTTCAAGATAAGCAATTTTCAATGTTGTTTCTACCATTTTTGGATATTTCAAACTCAATTCTTGATGTTGAACTTTGCTGTAAAATTTATTTAAGTTACTTGCTGTTTAACTTTTGTCAAATTCTACTTTAATCCCAATGTAATCTAATTTTCATTTAGCTAGTGCCTCTTTTATATTTGGATTGCTGTCTAACAGAATTCTCTTGGCATGTTTTTTTTTTGGTTTGTTTGAGATACATACCTAATAAATCAAATTGCCTCAAACTTGTATCCCAAGTCAGCCAAACTTAATCCATTTTTTTTATGTGAAGTGAGTAGAAGTATCGAGTTATCTGCCCTGGCAAGGTCCTTGACCTTATTGCCCTTCTCACTCGTGCATCTCTCTTCATCTGCAGAAGCGTTGGATCTTTCATCACCATCACTGAACTCCCATCGTCCGTATGAACTCAATGCTGACGACTATGAAAGAGTCTGTCACATCCCCAAGAAGAAGGTTTCCCCAGTTTACACTGCAGAATGGCAACTCTTTTTCTTTAATGATGCTCTACCAAATGATCCAAATGCTGACCGTATGTTTTTTTTTTCTAAATTAGGGTGCAAATTTCAGAGATTTGCCTGGTGTCCGTGTTCGGGACGACAACAAGGTCGAATTTGATCCGGCAATTGAAAGAGTTCTTCTGAAGTCAAAGAAACCTTTGGTAAATGTTTCCTCCCTTGCTTAGAACTTCTACAAAGGATATTGGTCTGCCTGTTAGTTTTTTTTTTTTTCCTGATCTCCCATTATTCGTGGTTATGGTGAATACAGGTTCCAGACTACGCAATGAGCTTCGTGAAGGGCACATCTTCTAAGTAAGTAGTATTATCATCTGGCTGATCATATGGCTCTGTTAAAATGGTTTTGGTTTTTTGGTTAACTAGAAAATTGAATGTTTAAAACATTTGCTTGTGTAGGCCATTCGCCCGCCTGTGGTGGGACGAGACGGTGCCCACAGTAGTGACTAGAGCTGAACCACACAATCAGGTGCGTGTCTTTGTTCTGCATTTTATATTTTACCTCACAAGTGTTTAATCTAATCTTGGTGAGTAATGTATCTATGTTAATCTTATTTGGTGGAATGTTTTTGTAGGCTATTTTACATCCTGAGCAGGATCGTGTACTTTCTGTTCGTGAAAACGCTAGGCTTCAGGGTTTTCCTGACTATTACAAGCTTGTAGGACCCATCAAAGAAAGGTATTCATTTGTTACTCTTAAGTACTGTTTTGAATTGTTATCAAACTAATAAGGACTTTTTTTCGGTGGATCCTTGATTTGGGTTGCGAATAAATTTTAATTGTGTTGATGTGCTGGTCTGGTGGTCAGGTACATTCAAGTGGGGAACGCAGTGGCAGTACCAGTGGCTCGTGCTCTAGGATACGCGTTGGGAATGGCTCTGAATCATAACGTCGAGAGAGCACCTCTGCTCACTCTGCCCAGCGACTACCTTGAGAAAGCACATCCAACTACTCCGGCTTCATCACAAGACGAGGCCTGATCTCCTTTTTTTTTACTTTTTAACTTTATTCGATGGGATTCACCCACCAGCATCCACAGCAAATATGCTTTGCTTCTGGGTTTGATTCATCTGACAAATGGAAACAGAATCCATCCGGTTTCATTCTTGGAAGCTTTTTTTGTACTCACAACTATCTTGCTACTCTTGAGACTTGTATGTGTCTGTATTCTTGTGAGGTGAACCGACTACAGTTGTTGGTTTGCCTACAAAGTACTGTTGCTGTATTCATGTAAGTTATTGGGTGCCCTTAATGAAGGGTAGATATGCGGAGCTGTATCTTGTCATGTACTAGTGTCGAGAGTTCTGATAGGTCAATGGTTGTTGTTCTATGGTGCCTTTTTTGGTCTTGAAACATCAAGATGAAATCCAAGCATGATATATGCATTGCTTTGTTAGAGATGTTAAATCAGGGTTCTTTCAATTAGCAGTAAATGTTTTTGTTGATTCATAATTTAGTTATGGTTGCATTTTCATATATTAATCAATGGCTAAATTGCAAGTTTGGTCACTTGAATTACTTGTAAATTTCACGTTAGCCACCAGAATTACGTTATTCCATCTGTAGTCACTTAAATTAGGTTAATAGTTCAAGTTTGGTCACTGGCCGTTAGTCTTCGTTATCTTTTGCTGATATGGCAGTCAACTATAATAATTGACCGTTAAATGAGTGACGTGGCAATTAAAAAATAATAAAATATAACTATTTTTTATTTTCCAACTAATTATTATAAATTAAAAAAGAAAATCTTAATTCTTTTAATTATTATTTTCCACCTCCAAACCTTTCCTCTCATCCGATGCCGCTCGTAAAACCTCCGATACGCCAAGCCAATTTTCCTCGCCATCGAGATTCGTCTCTCAACCTCTAGTCCGGCACCACCCACGAAGACTGCTTCCTGGACACTTCTTCGAACGCGATGTTGAATTTCCGGTGATTAATCACTATTAGATTCCGTGGGAATTCGTCTGATTTCTTTCACACGCACCCCTCTCTACGATCTAGGAAGAAAATACAAGATTGTAAAGCTTTTTTGAAGAGAAAAAAAAAAAAAAAAACGAAACCAAAAGAAGAAGAAAAATTGCAGAGAAAGAAGTGTATGTATGTATCAACCTAGCTTGTCACCGACAATCCCCAGGGGCGGAAGTCGAAGCTAAAAGGCAGAGGCACAGTGGAATTTACAATCCACGACGCATTCTTTCACTTTCGCCTGACGATAGATTCCCTTCAGAGATCTACCAAGGGACCGGAATCCAGATTAGAGAATTGCAATATCAGGCGCGAATGAGTGATAACTAACTCAATACCGATAGAGGGAAAGAGTAAGCAGCTCTGCTGAATCGAACCCAGAGAATTGAGGGCGATTATGAAGCGTGAATGCAGAAAGAAGAGGGTTACTTCTTCTTTCTCCTCGAACGCCGTCTTGAATTTCCGGATGCAGCCGTCGAGGAGGTGTACGGGAATCAGTCGTCGTGGGTGGTGCCGGACTCGAGGTTGAGAGACGAGATCAAGATCTCGGTGGCGAGGAAGCGTACCGTAGGTTTTACGAGCGACGTCGGTAGAGTGGAACACTCTGGCAGTGGAAAATAATAATTAAAAGAATTAGGATTTTTTTTTAAATTTACAATAATTAGTTGGAAAATAAAAATAATTATATTTTATTATTTTTTAATTGCCACGTCACTCATTTAACGGTCAACTATTAGAGTTGACCGCCACATCAGCAAAAGTTAACGGTGACTAATGTTCAGTGACCAAACTTGGACTATTAACCTAATTTAAGTGACTACGGATGTAATAAAGTAATTCTGGTGGCTAACGTGAACTTTATAAGTAATTCAAGTGACCAAATTTGTAATTTAGCCATTAATCAATCAAGAGCAAAATAAAAATATTTACGAATCATTTCTTGTCAATTGCCATTTCTAATATCTCCTTCATGCTTTCCAACAAACGAATAAATAATTTATTTGGATAAATGATAAATATGGTCAATGAAATTACTACAAAGTTTTACTTTTGGTCATTAAAAATATTTTATTTTATTTGTGAGAATTGAAAATAGGGTAAATACAATTTAATATCCAAACCTTTCATTTTAAACAATATAATAGCCAAACCTTTTCGAAAACAATCTAATATCCAAATCGTCAACTTTCCGTTCGTTTGACTGTTAATTGACACTTCAAAAAAGTTCGAAGTACGACGCTTCATCAATATCCATCGATATCTTCTCGGAAAAACCACCAACATATCATGGTTCCAAACCCGAGAAGTGCATGACTCCACCATGATGGTATAGAATATCTAAATATTCAGTCATCTGCAATGCCAAAACAAGAAAACAAAGTTGTATTTGTGACAATTTCCCCTAAACAAAGCTTTTTTGAAGTGTCAACTAATAGTCAAACGGACGGAAAAATTTACAAACGAGTTCGAGCTGGATTATCAAAATTCGAGTTCGAGCCGAGCTCGAACTGAAAGATTTAAAAACGAGCCAAGCTCAATCAAAAACTCGACTCGGCTCGTTTGCAGCCCTAACAGAGGTCTATCAAACCATACATCCGCACAATCCCATCGAGTCATCGTATGCGAGCAGCTTAGTTTGCTTTCCGGCTCACATGTTGTATTTGCCTGTCTCCAAACTCCATAAGTAGCTTCTTGATGTTTCTGTAGACAATACCCCCTCCACTTGAATCTCTTCGGCCTCCTTAATGCCATTAGTCACCGACAAGCGATCAGTTTCCACGAACGGTGAGACAAAGTGGTGTTGTCAAGCTAAGAGGATCTTAAATCAACATGTGGGATTTATAAGTCCGTGGGGTCCACGGATGTGGACCCTTAAAATCCGTGAGCCCCACGAATTTGGTCTCCAAAAAAGGTGCAAGCAAACAACGGATTGTACCTAAATCCTTGATAGTTGGTTTTTTGCTACCAAATCCATGTACCAAATCCTTGAAACAAACGACCCCTTAGTTGCTGCCACGAGGAAACACCCATTATGGTCTCGTACCACAACTCCCATGCCCAGTCCTTAACTGTCCAATCCGACATCCATATTTACCTTCACTTTACCTTCTGTCGGTCGCGATCATACTTCTGGTGGGGTGGTAGCCGGCGTGTGGAGATCCATCTGCTGGTTCTAGCGGTACTCTTCCAGGAACGATATCGCTCTCGGGACAATGTCATCTTCCGCCAACTTGTTTCCATTAAACAAGTGAGCATTATGCTCCTTCCATAGGTACCAAAACAACACTATCCAATCCTCCAAATCACTCTCCACAACCGAGTTTGCAACTTTATGCACCCACTCTATACACTGCAAGTCGCCTCACATCGCGAAATAGTGAGTAGATGACGATTCTGCCAAAGCCTGCTCGTCCATGGGCACTCATAGAATACATGGACCTGTGTTTCGCACTCATCACAGAAAGGGCAGGCGTCACTTTGCATTGGATTCCACTTACTCACCTTCTCTCTTAGTTAAACAATCTAAGTTTGGTTACTAGTTTTTACCTTCTGTTAGTCTTCGTTAATGGTGCAAGCTTTTTGCTGACATGACTAACAAAAGTGCCTAACAAATCAATTTTAAGATGAAAAACCAAATCTCGACCCGCCACATAAAATGCCCTTACTCAACCCAACTCGTGGCCCTTCTTCCCCAACCCCTTCTCTCTTGCACCACTTCCACTGCTGGCTGTAATGATCCCCTCAAGCTCGGCGTCTTGGAGCTTTCTCTCAAGCTCTCAACTTCCTAAACTTCCCAACTCAGCCGACGAATCAGCCATTTGCTTTGTATCATTCGATGCTTATACGATTCCCACTTGGATCTCACCGAAGAAACCCTCGCTCTGGTGTGGTGCTAGAAATCGAAGCCATGTCCATTGTCGAGATGCTTTACAACTCGCAGTTCATCATGCCTTGGTGCAATATGTGGCCAGATTTTGGTGGGGTGTGGTCGCGAATTCGATGGATGTCCAGGCGCAGTATGTGCAAGAGTAAGCATGATGGGGGTATGGGATTTCGTCGATTCAAGCACTTTAATCAGGCCCTTTTGGCTAAAATTGGCTGGCGTATCCTTATTGAACCTCAGTCCCACTTAGCACAGGTCTACAAAGGGAAGTACTTTCCTAATACCACATTCCTCAATGTTACAGCTCGTTCCCACCCATTTTGGGGGTGATAGAGTATCCTCTACGACCAACAATTATTAGAAATGGGGTTACGCTGGCAAATTGGTAATGGTCGGACGACGTCTCTGATCCATTCTAATTGGATACCTCTGGTGCACCCCTTTCCCTTAATTTATGACCCCCTGGTGCTCTCTCAAGATGGGGGACCGATGGCGGTTGAAATTATCTGTCCTAGGGAGGGGCATTGGTGTGACGCGAAACTTAGTCAGTGGTTTGACCCGCCAACCTGTCGAGCCATAAAAACTATTCATCTTCCTCGTCAAAATGTTGTCGATAAGCTGATCTGGCATGATACTGCTTATGGGGGTGTTCACTGTTAAATCTACCTACCATTTTGCCATCTTACTCTATAAACGGAGGGGTAACTGGCGGTCCATGGCAAGTTGGATGGATAGGGCTAGCTGGATTCGGTTTCAAGATGCCATTATTCCTCCCAAATTGAAAGTGTTTGTCTGGCAAATTTTTAACCGCATCATTCCAACTACTGAAGCCCTAATCGAGAAGAATGTTTCTGTGCTTCCCAGATGCTCAGTCTGCTGGGCCGCTTCAGAAACAATGGAGCGTTTATTTCTGGATTGCCCAGTGGCTCGTGTCCTTTGTGACCTTTCGGGTTTGGAATATCTTAGCCAAGGGTTGCCTCGTCATACCTTCCCGCTTTTTCTGAAAAGGCTGCTGACTCTTATAGAGCAACTTCCTTTGTTCATGGCGGTCGTTGTTTTCCTGTGGAGGATCTGGCGGTCCCGTAACTGGGTGGTCTTCGAGGGTAAACAGTTCGGGATCCTGGCCTTGATGCAGCAATTTAGTCAGCAATATGAGGAGTGGGTCAGGTTGCCGGTAAACCGTGTTACCCGTCTTTCTTTCGTTCTACTACATCCATTAGGGCATGATGGGGCTAGTTCGATGGTTTGTATGTGGGATGGGGCAACTAGGAGTGGGTTTCACTTGACAGGCGGGATGGTTATTATGAGTCACGATAAAGAAATCCTATTGGTTAAAGGGGTCATGTTTCCTTTGATTGATGACCCCATGGTGGTCGAGTTGCTTGGTCTCTGGGGGGCTATTTTATTCCGTTACGAGAATGAAATGACGCCCCCAACTCGACTCGAGACCAAGACTCCTTACAACTCGCACCAATAGCGGCACTGAACGGCCGGAGATTGATTGAAAAGGCTTTAAGCCCGCCGTCCTGGCTTCCGGCAGCAGATTAACTGCTAGCTCGGCCAGAGTGGGACCATTTTGCAGCCAACGGTCCTCCCAAAATAAGGCTTGCCTTCCACTGCTGACATTCCACATAGTAGCTGCAGGTAGATGGTGGATCACCCGGTTTACTCCTTTCCATAAGTTCGACATCCTCCCTGCTGAAAGGAGAGGTTATCAATATGCTCGACTGAAAGGTGCATGGCATGTGGCTTCACAGACATGCGATTTGAAGGAGATGCCAAGGTGGTCATCGATAAGATCATCCTTGTTGATACCAGAGATAACCGGGTGGGAGCTATTCTTGAAGAGATCTTGCAGTATTTTGCTTCCCATGTTGGGTTTAGTGTTCGGTTTAAAGGTCGGTGTAGTAATAGGGTAACACACTTGGTGGCTAGAAAGTCCCTTTCTTTGCACCCGACTATGAGTCATTCTTTTGATTATCGGGTCTGGCTGTCTCCTCGGGAGTAACTAGCTTTTGTTTGAATCAATATATGGTTATCTTTTGTCAACGAAAAAAACACGAACCTAGGTATCCCCTTAGATTTTAACTTGGGCCTATATTTCTACATCACAAGGCTACTCATTTCATGGGACTCTCTCACCCATACACAGCTCGTTCCGTCAGCCATGTTTCATCGTAAGTAATTGCGATGGCATTCTCGGCTTCATCATAAGTGATCGTTGTCGAGTTTTCATTAGTCATTTCAGGAGGGAACTTTTTCATCTTTCAGGTACTTCAATCAAGCTGTCGTCATCCTATCATCCTCAAACTGCAGCCAGACTAAGGTTGTCAATTGTTCACTGGAGCAATACCTCCGCTATTTCTCGCACCAATAGCCTTAGTTGGTTAACCTTCCTTCCATGGACAGAGTGCCGACAAAGAGGTGGATCTGACACTCATGGAACATAATGAAGTTTTACAAGAGCTGAAACTAAATCTCCAGAATGCCAAAGCGTGAATGAAGCAGCAAGCCGATGCGAACCGCTGAGATGTGGGGTTTGTTGACTAGGAGTTCCTTGTTTTTAGTAAGACTAGTGACTTCAAGCAGCTCTCACTTCTCACCCGATGGTTGTCTTAGACTTTTTGTAAAGGGCCCCAGTCTTCCGTGATAGCTCGTGTGGAACCTTTTCTTTCTTACGTAACTGCGGCGAAACATAAAAAAAAGATTACTGTCACATAACATAAGGGCCGGAAGTACAGTAACTCGGCCAAAATATGACACCCGAAGGACCCGCCCGAGGTGCATTTAGTTATCTTACATGAGACTCAGGATCTTCCTCACTCCATGGCATCTTTCACTCATCTATTCGGTCTCTCAACCGCCCTTAGGTTGTGTCTTCCAATTCGTACTCTATTAAAGATAATGACATATTGTCGAGGTTAGAATATACTCGAACTTTGTGAGAGGTTATGAAATATGCTCGACTGAAAGGAGAGGAAGAAAGTCACTCGACCGATAGGGCTATCCTCATTTCTAATCTTTTCAAACCCTCTCGGCTCTGAACATGCGGCTACTCAATCAGTGGATGATGATGGAGCTTAGCTTATTAGTTGAACTAGCACCGAACTCTAAACCTATTTAGTTATGTATTGTAATCTCTCTCTCTTTGCTTTCATCCGATTCACCAAGGAATCTTTTGGTCGCTTTTGGAAGATTGCTTACTACTAGGTTGGAACAGATTTCAACTTGTGGAGGCACCATTTGTTACTATTGGACAAATTTCTCCTTTAGGGGAGACTATGTGTTCCTTCGCCTCCATCCTTATCGACAACACTCAGTTTTCCACCCAGTGTCTCGAAAGCTAGCATGCCACTTCTACGGGCCCTACCTCGTCACTGAACGAATTGGTCAAGCAATCTAGAAGCTCATATACCTCAACTCGTGTGGAGGGTCAATGAAGTTAAGGGGTGTCGGAGTTTTATCCGTGCCCTTAATTAAATACACTTCTCAAGTTGACAATCAATTCGACGGGTGAAAATTTTACTTTTACTAGAGAGGAACTAACATTACCTTGTAGGACTTCCCCACTAAAGCAACAAGTATCTATTCCAAGGCATCATCACAACAACCTTCTTGCTCCCCTCCTTCTCCTCCTCCGACGTAGTTTCCCTTCTTCCTTGCTTCGTGCTTCCTTCTTTGGCCGCCACCATCTTCTAAGAATGGGTATTGATCTCCTCTGACATGCTTGGTGCTTCGTGTGGTGGTGTGAGGAATCAAAGAGGGGGTGCTCTTTTATTTATAGGGGAGCGGCGGTCATGCAATGGGTGGAACCACCTTTCTTTTTCTTGTGGAAAGCATATTCTTGTGAGTCCTTATTCGAGGAGGAAAAGGTTTTGCCGTGATAGTTGGGGTAAGTCTATGAGCCAATGCGCTTTGGACACCTTGGCTGCGCAAGAGACGGAAAGTGAACCTGTTGCGCCAAAGAAAATGAGCGGCGGGTAGGACCAATGCTGGGTCGTCGCTCTCTTATGCTCGTATCTTCGTAATTAGGCTTCACGTTGGACCTCCAAATTAGGCCCAGGACACAAGAAAATAAGTTTTCAGATGAATTTTGATAAAATAAAAGGAAAAGAATAAAAGAGGGAAAAACCTTGGGCTACCTCCCAGTAGCGCTCTCTCTTTTATCCCTTTGAGCTAGACATACTCCCTTATATTTTAGGTGGTGTTGAAGAAGGGGAGATCCTCCACAAAGGTGGTTTCTGCGAGAAGTAGGGTTTATAACATTGACCATTCATGTGGAAGATATTGCCTTGGTGGTCATAAAGATCCACATCTCCATATGGATTGACTTGGTGAATTGTATAAGGCTCTGTCCATCGAGATCCGAGCTTTCCAGGATGTCGTCTCAATCTTGAATTGAATAATAGTATTTGATTTACAGGCTTCAAATCCTTCTTGAGCATCTTCGCGTGGTGTAACCTTTTGAAAATTTTCTTATATATCCTTGAATTCTCGTATGCATGGAATTTGAATTCTTCGAGTTCATGTAGTTGATATTTTCTTTATTCTCCTGCTACATAAAGGTTGAGATTTAGCTCTTTAATGGCCTAATAAGCTCTATGTTCCAATTTGAATGGCAGATGGCAGGCTTTCTCGTACCCCATACGATATGGTGATGTGCTTATAGGGTTTCTATAAGGATTTTTATAGGACCAAAGAGCATCGTCAAGCTTGGTGGACCGGTCATTCCAGGTATCGATTGTTTTTTGCAATATTTGTGCAAGCTCCTTGTTGGTGAGCTCCACTTGTCCACTTGTTTGAGGGTGGTAAGCAGTCGACTTTGATTGGCAGGAAGATATTTTGTGGCATCGTGTTCCTTCTTGTGACATTTCCTAACCTTTGATATGTGACTTGCTAAAACTCAAAATCCTAACAATGGCCAAATGTAACCAATGAAAGAGACTGCACTATAGTGACATAAGTAATAAATATAAAACCCACGAGTCTCTAGAGTTACTACTACTCGGCTTCAGTTCATTATCTAGCAAATCAAATTAAGGCGTGATTAACTAAACTACTCTACAAGCTAAATAAGGCTAACTACTAATTACAGGTTGGGAACTCACTTATGTATGATTCCCCATAGATTCTCAATTAGGTCCAAGTTGGGATTCCTTCTAGTTTTTTTTTACTGTTGATCAAACTGTGAAAGATCCGATAATAGCTAGGAATCTCTTAAGTTGACCAAACCCTCTTAGACAAAAAACTCGACGGGTGACTAACCTCCATCAGAATAAAATGGTAACGCAGTAAACAAGGATCTCCGCTACTGAAATAAATTCCAGTACAAAGTAGTGAATTGATTGACTCGCACAATCAATTCACTACTATCAATCGAAGAAGCTCTCTTAACCCAGTCAGATTCTATCTATCATAGGTTAAACCAAAAATTAAAAGAATGTGATCAAAATCCAACTGACTCAAATAGTCATTCCTCAATTGATTAAAAGCAATCAGTATAACATCCAAAGGTTCATACAAGAAAGACACATGTAACTAGGGTTCCTCAAAACCTAAGTGAAGAGTAGCTACTCCATAGAGAATAGAGAGAATACAATATAACTTTTCACATCTTCAATCTTCATGTCTCAACTTGTTCCTTGAGCTTCAATGGTGAAGAAGTCCTCCAAAATAGCTCCAAAAATGGCTCTAGATCGCTCTCCCTCTCTTTGGTTCGTCCCTTGGGTATTTAGGATTTGAAATCCAGCTCTCCCTCTCCAAAAACCGCAAAACAACATTTATACCCGAGCTGAAATTTTCACCCCCCTACTTGAATGGTCGTGTAAATTGGGTTCATGCTAGCGCAAACTCTCTGGAAACTTTGCACGATCATGCACATTTTCCAGCATGCACTCATAATCTCCGTTTGAGCTTGTTTGACCTCCGATTGCCCCGAAAGTTGCACCCAAGCCTTCCTTTACTTGTTAGGTCCTGAAATACATCAAATGAGCACAAACCAACGTAAAATAGGCCAAAAAATGAACAATCACCAAGCTAAACAATCAAGAAATGTCGAAAAAAACATGTGCAAATATAGTGTTATCAATATGCATCACAATGTCTAGTGTAAAAGATGCAGTCTCAAAAGATAGTGGGGCAATAAAATCCGCTTTCAAGTATCTTCCATTTCATCCGGTTGCCACTTTGATGTCCTTCTGCTCGTCCAAAATGGCAGTGTCATATGATTTCTGTTGATTCCTTGAAAGATAAACATCTTTGAATAATGTTGTAAAATCCTATGCGATAAAGGTAAGGGTCTTCCTAGAAATAGTACTTCTTCTTTTCTTGGTAGATTAACTTGTCATGCAACTCTTTAGTGCATAGATAGTTGACTATGTCGGCAAACTATGGTTATTGGATAGATTCAAGAACGATTGCCTTTACTTGTTCGTTTGAGAAGGAGTCGTTAATTTCTCGCTTCTCTTGTTGAGCATCCTTTGATTCTTCTAATCGGGATAGGTGATCAGCGAATATATTATCTGCTCCTTTCTTGCCATTAATTTCACAGTCAAATTTTTTGAAGCAGTAGTATCCAATAAATGAGTCTTGGCTTCACGTATGTTTTACTCATCAAAATGTCGCACTGCTTGATGATCAGTGAATAATATCATTTTTTCCAATGTAAGGTAGGATCGAAAGCTATTTAAGGCAAAGATGACTGCTAATAAATTCTTCTATGTTGTTGTGTAATTCTTTTGTGATTCATTGAATGTCCTACTTGCATAGTAGATTGGATGAAGCCTTTTGTCCTTTCTTTGACCTAGGACAACTCCTACTGCATAGTCACTAGCATCACAAATCAGTTCAAATTCTTGTGACCAATTAGGTGATGTGAGAATAGGTGTTTCGTCATTTATTCTTTAATAGTTCGAATGTTGCTATGCATTGCTCGTCCATGTAAAAATGTGGCATCTTTTTCCAAGATATTTGTTAGTGGTTGAGTGATCTTTGAGAAGTCTTTGATGAATCGTCTATAGAATCCTGCATGTACCAAGAAGCTTTTTATTATCTTGACAGAGGTAGGTGGTGGAAGTTTGACGATGGTTTTTATTTTTGCTCGATCCACCTCGATTCCCTTGCTTGAAATCTTGTGTCCTAGCACAATCCGTCCTATCACCATTAAATAGATCTTCTCCCAACTCCACGGTAGGTTGGTTTCTTCACATCGGATCAAAACCTTTTCGAGATTCCTTATGCAATGCTCGAATGAATCTCCACAAATAGAGAATTCGTCCATGAATATTTCCACTATATTGTCAATGTAATCGACAAAGATGGTCGTCATGCATCTTTGGAAGGTAAATGGAGCAAAGGTTTTGTAGGGGCATGTGAAAGTTGTCTGCTCTTGATCCTCAGGAGTAATGGGTATCTGGAAGTAGCCGGACATCCCATCTAGGAAGCAGTAGAAGGCATGACCATCCAGTTTCTCCAACATCTGGTCGATGAATGGTAGTGGAAATTGGTCTGTTCGGGTGGCGTCAGTCAATTTTTGATAGTCGATGCACACTCTCCATCATCTTATTGTTCATGTAGGGATAAGATCTTCATTGTCATTGGGTACGATGGTCATTCCTCAATTCTTTGGTACTAGTTGTGTATGATTGACTGTTTTGTTGTCTGAAATGGGGTGTATGATGCTTGCTTGTAATAACTTCATCACTTCCTTTTTTATGACTTCTTTTAAATGGGGATTCAGACATCGTTGTGGTTGCACCACTGGTTTATGATTATCTTCCATTAGTATCTTCTATATGCAGAATGATGGGTGAGTCCTGTGAATATCGGTTATCTTTCTTGTGATCTTTGAGTAGCCCGATCAATTGATCTTTATGCTCTTGGGATAGTGAAGAATTGATGATGACGAGCAACTTCCTTTTGTCCTCTAGGAATGCGTATTCTACATTCTCGGGTAGTGCTTTCAATTCTAGCTCTAGAGGTTCCTCATAAAATGTCTTGATTTATGGTAAAGGAGGAACCTCTATCACGAGTGGCTCTAATTCACTTTCCTCTTCTTGGGGTAGATCCGGCTCATGGAAGTATTCTCCTTATACTTGCAGTTAGCAACACTCCAATGGATCATCAGCCTTTAGATCAGCGATGAATCGTACTAGTTCGGGATCTCCTACTCCATGGAAGTCTTCCACGTACCATGTTGAACAACTATGATTTTTTTCTTTTCTTTTATCACATATGGTGGCTTTAGTTCCTATCCTCAAGGTCAACTTCTAGTTATGCACATCTATCAGAGCACTTGTAGTTGCCAAGAAAGGTCTTTCTAACAATAGGGTAGAGTCATGATCATCAAGATTTATCATAAAAAATTTGCAGGGAAATCAAAAGGGTCAACTTTAACCGAAGCATCTTCATAGACTCCCTTAGGATGTCTAAATGTTTTATCCGCCAATTGGATGGT